GTATATAATCCCTTGTCTCTATTTCTTTCAGATAAAAACATACTCACCTGTTTAGCATTGCTCTTCGGCAGCATGTAAAGGAATGCTAGAACAGATACTAACCATTCATTCTCTCTGCTCTTTTTGATCCTTCACAATAGACATGATTGAAATAGACACCCATGAGGTCTTCCTAGTCCCAGCTCCTCCGAGCCCTGTGACTGCCGCCCCATTGTTCTATCTACAGTCGCTTGCTCTTGCACACATACATATACATGAAAATACTCATAAAGGTACAAAAAGCACAGCCAAAAATCAAATACCCGAACAATTACAGCAGCATATGTTTTTCTGTGTATCCTAAATTGCAGCATTAGGTCAGAACAGCAAGCTTTCATTAAATAAATAAATGAAACTCATTTCCTAGTGCACAATTACAATTTCGACTTTGTAGATTTTTTTTTTAAACACCAGTGCCCCTGGAGGACAGCAGAGATGGTTTAGCATCCTTTTTCATTGTATACTCTGTACACTTCGCTTGTTTGTGCTGCAGTGGTAATGAGTCCCCTTTGCATGGTGAAACCGGTGTAACGGTGAAGTTGTAGCATCAATTAGTCATGTACAGTTAAAGCTCCAGAGCCACACCAAGCACAGGAGCCACTTTTTAACACATCCTCTGATCTGAGAACTGATACTGTTCACACTTTACCTGAACCCAGAGTGTATGCAGACTTCACACATTTACTTGCTGGTATTTAATTATATGATTAAAATACCTGAAATATGCAATAAAATTGTTATCAGTAAAATTGTGCAATTAATTCACTAGAGAGCCATTTTTTCTCTAATCAAACGTGCTCTCAGAGAAGCAATAATTCACTGTGATGTCATCAAGAAGGGAGGGGGCTTTCCAGGAAGTGTAACTATAGAATAAGATAAAAACGTGAGACGAAGTAAGATAAACAATCTTGAGAAATTCTTAATGGAACAGTAAATAATACCCTTGAGCTGTTTTAAATGCCACAGACTTTAACACTCACACCGGTGTGCTTTTTCCCCCCATAGCCTCTTAAATCACAGGCAGTGTTTTCACTCTTTATTTGAAACCATTTATCTTGATGTGTGCTCCCCCTTCCCCCAACCCACACCCTCCTCTCTCATTTTTTCTTCGTTTCTTTGAGGAGACAACTTAATTTTATTTGTTTCATAGTGATGAGAATCCCCTAAATCACAGTATAAGTTGTACTTTTCAAATTTGGTGGCATATTACTCTGGCATCCTAGGCCAGTCTCAGTGCTTGGATGATTTCCCAGTTTAGAGTTCTCTTGCCTGGCATTATGCTTCTACAATGAGTCAGCCGTTTGTAAAAGCGAAGATTAAAAACAAGCTGAAATGGGGAATGCAATGTTCCCATAGCACCAACCCTTCGTGGAGCAGTATGGAAATGCACTTGTCACAGCTCTGTTAAGTATGAGTTGCCCTGTTCATGTGACAGCCTGATGAGTGCACGAAAATGGCCATTGCCCAAATTGTCGATACCTCAAACCTTTGTTCTTTGTAACATGTAATCATGCTTGACCCTATGCCTCATTTTTTTATCAAGTCCGATCTGATTTTAGTGGTTTATTTACCAGGCCTAAATTTCTGGCATTCTGACACAAGTGTTGTGAAAGTGACCTCCAGAGGTTTTAAACTGAAAAACAAATAAAGATCTTTGTTGTTTTCTGCTTGGTTGCAGGTAGAGATGAACCTTCGAGTTACATATGCACAACGTGCAAACAGCCCTTTACCAACGCCTGGTTCCTCCTGCAGCACGCTCAGAACATGCATGGGATCCGCATCTACTTGGAGACCAACCCCTCAAATACCTCCCTCACCCCACGGATCACTATTCCTCCCCCCATTGGTGCTGAATCCATACCACAGTCCCCATTAACCAACTTTTTAGGGGACAACAACCCCTTCCACCTCCTACGGATGACTGGGCCCCTACTCCGAGAGCCCCCACCAGGCTTTGTGGAAAACCGCCTGCCTAATACGCCTCCCTTTGTCAGCCCCCCTCCTCGCCATCACTTAGATCCCCATCGCCTAGAACGCCTTAGCGCAGAGGAAATGGGTTTAATCTCCCAGCATCCCAGTGCCTTTGAGAGAGTGATGCGCATGACACCCATGGCCATCGAGTCCCAGTCCATGGATTTCTCCCGCCGACTTAGAGAGCTCGCTGGAAACAACAACTCCACTCCACCGCTGTCACCAAGCCGTGCCAACCCTATGCATCGCCTCCTCAATCCCAACCCCTTCCAGCCCAGCCCGAAGTCGCCCTTTCTGAGCACCCCTCCGCTGCCTCCCATGCCCCCTAACAGCACCACCCCGCCACAGACACAGGCCAAGTCAAAGTCCTGTGAGTTCTGTGGCAAGACCTTCAAGTTTCAGAGTAACCTGGTTGTTCATCGGCGAAGCCACACGGGCGAGAAACCCTACAAGTGCCAGCTGTGTGACCATGCCTGTTCTCAGGCTAGCAAACTGAAACGCCACATGAAGACCCACATGCACAAGTCTGGCTCTTTGACAGGGCGCTCTGACGATGGCCTGTCCACCACCAGTTCACCCGAGCCAGGCACTAGTGACATCACCGGGGAGGGTATGAAGAACAGAGATGGCGACTTTAGAGGTGAGGGCATGGGCCCTGAAAATGAAGAGGAGGAGGAAGAGGAAGAAGAGGAGGAACTAGAAAATGAAAGCAGGCCTGAGTCAAACTTCAGCATGGACTCTGAGTTCAGTCGGAATAGGGAAAATGGCTCAAAGCCACTTTCAGATGAAAAGAACCTCTCCTTGGGGAAGATGGTGGAAAATGTAGGGCTCAGCTCCATCCAGCAGTACAATAACTTAATAGTCGACAATCGGAAAAGGCTTCCGTTCTATAAAAGAATGTCAGAAGGGCAAAGGGATGCAGGTGACAACGATTCAGTAGTGGGTGAAATGGACCAAGTGGAGCGCGTAACTGTGAACGGAAGGCACTGTGGCTCAGGCGACTCTTTCTCAGGCCTGTTTCCCCGCAAGCCCACTCCCATCACCAGCCCAAGCTTCTCCAACTCCTCTAACAAGAGGATCAAAATCGAAAAGGATTTGGACATACCCTCAGCCCCCCTAATCCCATCTGAAAATGTCTACTCCCAGTGGCTAGTGGGCTATGCAGCATCCCGCCACTTCATCAAAGATCCCTTTCTTGGCTTCACCGATTCCAGACAATCTCCATTCGCCACCTCCTCGGAGCACTCTTCCGAGAACGGCAGCCTGCGATTCTCCACGCCGCCAGGGGACCTGCTGGACGGGGGCCTCTCAGGCCGCAGTGGTACCGCTAGCGGAGGCAGCACCCCACACTTGGGACCGGGCCGGCCTAGCTCAAAAGAAAGCCGGAGGAGTGACACTTGTGAGTACTGTGGGAAGGTGTTCAAGAACTGTAGCAATCTGACAGTGCACAGACGCAGCCACACAGGCGAGAGGCCCTACAAGTGTGAGCTTTGCAACTACGCCTGCGCCCAAAGCAGCAAGCTCACCCGCCACATGAAGACACACGGCCAGCTCGGTAAGGAAGTGTACCGCTGTGACATTTGCCAAATGCCCTTCGGCGTCTACAGCACGCTCGAGAAACACATGAAAAAGTGGCATGGGGAACATTTGATGACGAATGAGGTCAAAATTGAACAAGCAGAGAGAAGCTAAGCCAGATTTCCTATTTTGCCTCAATTCCTTGATTATAAAAGGGGTAGCTGGATACTCTGTTTTTTTGTTAGGTTTTTTTTTTTGTTAGTTTTTATTTTTTTGGTTGCTTGTTTTCAGATTAATGGTTTGAGTTAGTTTTGTCCTAAGAAACTGCCATCTGAGAATGATAAAGACATTAAAGAAGAGCGGGAAAAAAGTAAAAATTAATTTGGAGCTGGTATAAGTCACCTACCTATGAGTGGATACATTAGACAATATTTTATATGGAGCCTTTAACTGTGCAATAATTTCTGTATTTATTGGATTTTTTTAATGTTTTGGCATATGCAGGTTCATTTTTTATTTCATCATTTTTTATTCCATTATCTTATGATTTATTTCAAATGCTGAGATTTAGTTTAAACCCAAAAGACATCCTGAGATTTTTGTTTGTTTGTTTTTAGCAAAACAGAGTATCGTTTGAGAAATCCATAGGCTGCTGCTTACGATGTAGATTATTTAAGATACACATGTAATTTCTTGAAGAGAAGCCGCATTCAATCTTCAAATTTTGAAAGCTGAATTGAGAAAGCTTTGTCTTTTCTTTTGTTTTCCTTTTTTGTTTATTATTCATACTTACAAAATGAGCGGACAACAATCCTTAGACCTTGTAGCACAAACTGATTTTAAGCATGTCAATCTAATTGGGAATGTAGCACTGAATATCAGTTCTAATAGTAAATCTAAAGAGGACTGTTGGGCTGAAAACCTCCGTCTACTCGAAATCAAGGAGAGGGGACTGTAAAAACAGACAAAAGTCAAGGCAGCTGCTTATCGGTACCTAGTACCGACCCAGACAACGCTAGTCATAGGATGGATTGTGTTATAGGTCTCACTAGGTCTCAATAGTGAATTTTAATCGCCAGCACCCTTTCCATAGACACTGCACTTAATTAAACCCATTTGATTTTGCTGAACAGCACAATAGTGGTAGAAGGAAGATGGCTTTAAACCAACTCAGGGTGAGCTGCATAGCTACTTTTGCCAAGTTTGCTATCTGATCTCAGCCGTCTTCTCTGATAAAGCAGTCCGGTCCTCTGGTTCAGCTAATTCACAACCCTCACCTCGTCTCCACATTTCATATTACACTGCCAACCACTCCTAAATGTCATGAATCAACTCCATCTTTCCCATAAAAGTGGCTTGTCATACTACAGCGTTAAGTTAAAGGGACAGATGTCTTGGCCAGAGGCTGAAGCAGTTTTCGTACACTAGGAGAGTGATTTAAACACACACACACACACACACACACACACACCTCTTCCGAGAACGGCAGCCTGCGATTCTCCACGCCGCCAGGGGACCTGCTGGACGGGGGCCTCTCAGGCCGCAGTGGTACCGCTAGCGGAGGCAGCACCCCACACTTGGGACCGGGCCGGCCTAGCTCAAAAGAAAGCCGGAGGAGTGACACTTGTGAGTACTGTGGGAAGGTGTTCAAGAACTGTAGCAATCTGACAGTGCACAGACGCAGCCACACAGGCGAGAGGCCCTACAAGTGTGAGCTTTGCAACTACGCCTGCGCCCAAAGCAGCAAGCTCACCCGCCACATGAAGACACACGGCCAGCTCGGTAAGGAAGTGTACCGCTGTGACATTTGCCAAATGCCCTTCGGCGTCTACAGCACGCTCGAGAAACACATGAAAAAGTGGCATGGGGAACATTTGATGACGAATGAGGTCAAAATTGAACAAGCAGAGAGAAGCTAAGCCAGATTTCCTATTTTGTCTCACAATTCCTTGATTATAAAAGGGGTAGCTGGATACTCTGTTTTTTTGTTAGGTTTTTTTTTTTGTTAGTTTTTATTTTTTTGGTTGCTTGTTTTCAGATTAATGGTTTGAGTTAGTTTTGTCCTAAGAAACTGCCATCTGAGAATGATAAAGACATTAAAGAAGAGCGGGAAAAAAGTAAAAATTAATTTGGAGCTGGTATAAGTCACCTACCTATGAGTGGATACATTAGACAATATTTTATATGGAGCCTTTAACTGTGCAATAATTTCTGTATTTATTGGATTTTTTTAATGTTTTGGCATATGCAGGTTCATTTTTTATTTCATCATTTTTTATTCCATTATCTTATGATTTATTTCAAATGCTGAGATTTAGTTTAAACCCAAAAGACATCCTGAGATTTTTGTTTGTTTGTTTTTAGCAAAACAGAGTATCGTTTGAGAAATCCATAGGCTGCTGCTTACGATGTAGATTATTTAAGATACACATGTAATTTCTTGAAGAGAAGCCGCATTCAATCTTCAAATTTTGAAAGCTGAATTGAGAAAGCTTTGTCTTTTCTTTTGTTTTCCTTTTTTGTTTATTATTCATACTTACAAAATGAGCGGACAACAATCCTTAGACCTTGTAGCACAAACTGATTTTAAGCATGTCAATCTAATTGGGAATGTAGCACTGAATATCAGTTCTAATAGTAAATCTAAAGAGGACTGTTGGGCTGAAAACCTCCGTCTACTCGAAATCAAGGAGAGGGGACTGTAAAAACAGACAAAAGTCAAGGCAGCTGCTTATCGGTACCTAGTACCGACCCAGACAACGCTAGTCATAGGATGGATTGTGTTATAGGTCTCACTAGGTCTCAATAGTGAATTTTAATCGCCAGCACCCTTTCCATAGACACTGCACTTAATTAAACCCATTTGATTTTGCTGAACAGCACAATAGTGGTAGAAGGAAGATGGCTTTAAACCAACTCAGGGTGAGCTGCATAGCTACTTTTGCCAAGTTTGCTATCTGATCTCAGCCGTCTTCTCTGATAAAGCAGTCCGGTCCTCTGGTTCAGCTAATTCACAACCCTCACCTCGTCTCCACATTTCATATTACACTGCCAACCACTCCTAAATGTCATGAATCAACTCCATCTTTCCCATAAAAGTGGCTTGTCATACTACAGCGTTAAGTTAAAGGGACAGATGTCTTGGCCAGAGGCTGAAGCAGTTTTCGTACACTAGGGGAGGAGTGACACACACACACACACACACACACACACACACAGGAAGAGAAAGAGAGAGAAGGGTCTTTACAGTCCAATTCAGGTTAGTAAACCTAAAAGCAAATTAGTCAAAAGCAAGGCAGCATCACTGTTCTGTTTCCATTGACTGACATTTAAATCTAAACATTGTTATTTTGTGTTCAGTTCTGTTGTTTCATTTTTGGGTATTAGGGTCTGCTGTTCTAGAGGGAGTCACCACTTTAACCAGATTAGATTAGAATTAATTCAGTTACATGTTTAGCAATGTTGTCATTCTATTAGAATGTTTCTTAAATCACTTGAAACAGCCCTATGCATTTTTGTATATATATATATATATATATATATATATGTATATTTATCACTCATTTTGAGATACAAATTTATACTGCACAGTAAATCTGATTATAGTTTAAAATGTGTATGATATTGATTTATCTGGTTAATCTGGTCATGTCCCGTGTGTCAGAGCCATCAGCAGGTATGCAGATTAGTCAATTGCACAGTAAAGAGTGTATGTCATAACCTGTTGAGCGTGTGCTAAAACAGTAAGACAATTTTTTTCTTTCTTTCTTCTCATTCAGGACTTCCTGTGATGTGTAGTTGAACGCATTCTCAGAAGTAGCAACACGCTTACAGAATGCACAGCTGAATTTTCCCTTTTCTTTTCTCTTCTATCCAACTGATTTATTGGCAGTTAAACAGCCTTCTTTCGACAAGATGCCCTAACCAGCGCAAACGATTGAAGCGAGGGAATATCGTGGTTTAAAAAGAGCAAAGCAAACTAATGAAATAGAAAGAGAGAGAGAGAAAGAAAAGTAAACATACACAGCTCTTCGCAGTTGACCCGCACTTTATTATTTTGATTTTCATATTTGAAAACAATAGCGAAAACGGCTTCTGAGCAAGAAATTATGTTAAAATACGAATTTATTGGGCCTTGCTAGAGGGAGCATCTGAGATTGAAGTGCCAGTGTTGATAGGCTTGGCTTTCACAATGCTGGCACTATAAAAATGAAATTAATTTATTTGGACAGTTTTTGTACTGCCATTCAATTTGACATGAGTGTGCCTTGAATACTGATCTTCCTATTTATTGTCTTATAAGACAAATGCAACACTTTTGTGAAGCAAAGAATTGAAAAAAAAAATTAAGTCCATGTGGTGTTAAACTGCTTCTAAAAAAATAATGATAAAAACAGATATGTCATTTAAAGAAGTTGATCTAAAATGTAAAGTAGCCAGCATAATGCTAATGTGTGTCTATGTGTGTATATATGTATGCATATGTACATATAACTGCACAAAAACACACACAATAGACATATATATACATACATACATAGAGATAGATAGGTAAATATGTAAAATTTTTCACTTCAGGACAAGACTGCGTCCCTTGATAATAATGGATGATTTTTTGCTACAAATAGTCAAGGAAGAGGCTGGACAAAAATCAGGAACTACAGAAACTAAAAAAAAAAAAGTAAAACGTTTAGTGCACTCTGTCTTAAAATACGTTTACAGTATTGAAACAAGTACAAGGGTAAAATTATATTTCTGTGTATGTGTGTTTTAAACAAACAAGAATTTTCCTTTTCTGTTTTTTGTTATCAAGTTTGCTTATAAAGTTTCTCTGAATGCCATAGTGGCGTGTGTATATTGTTTTTTGGTGACGGGATTTGAAGTATATATATATATATATATATATATATATACATGACATTTCTCTTGTTTACTGTAAAAGTATACCAGTATTTGTAATATTGGATAATGCCTGGGCATTTTATAAAAAAAATAGAAAAATAAAAAAAATAATAATAAAAAAAGAGAGGAAATTAAAAAAAAAAAATCCCCCAATTATAATTTCTTTCTGTTTTTTTTTTTTGTTTTTTTTTAAAGAAGTTTAATTTTACAGTTCAATTTAAATTGTGGGTCTTTAAAATGTTTTGTCACTGTAACTGTAAAAGTCCTGAGTTTTAGTAACTTTTCTGCCTTGGGTATAAGAAAATAAAGATTCAATTCATCAAAAGAGAACTGCAATGGGGCCAACGACATTTACTGAGGTTCCTGTCATGTATATCTTTCTGGTTTCTTCTTTGGTAATGGATTTTCTTAATGGCTGGAATGAAATACATGTGTAGGCACTATGATGTGTTTATGTGTGTATATATGTGTGTGTGTGTGTGTCTGTGTGTATATATATATATACTGTATATGTACACACATTTGGCAGGATACAATTGTGAAAATTGAAATTAAAAATGTACAGATGAGTTTAAGATGAGGTTGTCTGACCTTTTACTGTAGCTACATATAAAACAGTAAATGTTTTGTTCACTCTTATCTTGGTTGTAAATAATTTTTATATGCTTGCCCAGACTTTGTTTTGTTTCTCTCTCTCTCTTTCTTGGTCTTTTTTTTTTATTTGTGTGTTCTGGCAGCAGTGTGTCTTTTTTTAAAACAAAGCCCCCTTCTGTCCTTTGATTTTTGGGGTGTAATACCTGATTTCTGGGGCCTGTAAGGTTCAGGTTTTTTTAGCATGGGAAGAATAGAGCACAAATTCAAGATGTTTTAGTTATTATCCAAGTCATTATCGTGTCATCATTTTCTGATCAGGAAGTAAAGAAAAAGTTCTGGAAGCTCTTTCTCTCTCTGTCTTTCTCCTTCCCTCTGCACACACACACACACACACACACGCTCTCTCTCTCTCTCTCTCTCTCTCTCTCTCTCTCTCTCACACACACACACCCACACACCCACACACCCACAGGAAACAGGCTCGCTCATAGTATGTCTAAAATAATTGACACAGGGGACTTTCAAATGTGTAGGTAACAGGATAGCCGAGCCAAACCTCACTGTATATGATCTCTCCAATTGTGTGCAGTTCACATCAAAGCTTTTTGCCTTCAACCAAAGGCTACAATTAAAGTCATCAAGAGCTACTAAAACTGACCACACACATACAGACAGGAATCGATCAACCTGACCCACCATGTATACTTTCAAACCCTTTCCCAGAGTGTATTAGCCTCTGGTATCTGCATCTAAAAAAAGATGTGGCACTTTGTGGAGGTCAAAGAGCTCTGTACGACTGTTTGTCCACTCATTTATACAGTACGTTCATCTCAAACTGACAATTATGTTCACTTGTGTTATACTAGTTGTTTTTGAAAGCCGCCCTTCTGTGTATATTTGAGTATTTTTTCCTCCCGTATTTCTTCCAAGCATTAAACGCTGATACCCCTTGTTTGGACTGAGGCAACTTTGGTATGCAGGTCTTGAATAAAAAAAAAAACAAGAATTTTCACTGCTGTTTACTCTTTATTTCTCGAGTCATCATAAAATGTGTATTTGTTATTGAGGTATAATAAAGCTTTTTATATGTAACTGATGTGAAAACACGAGTGGGCGGGGCCGTACGAGAGAAACGCTTTGTGAGATCACACAATATTCAACCGTATCTCCGATTTAGCTTCTGTTAGCTCTGATGTCATATAAACAGATCAAGCAAGACACCATGCTATAACACTACTGTAATCTGAAAATAATTGGCTCCAGGGCATGTTCTTATCTGTGTGGGAAATCTTAAGGGAACGCAAGACTTTTTAGCATAAACATATTTATTTGTGTTTAAAATTCTTATGATGTGTTTTTAGTTGCAAACAATTTTCAGAGGCTGACGCGTTAGCTTTAGAATGAAAAGAAAAACAAAAAGATGCAAACTACCTCACGCACTCGTCTGTCATTATGAGGCCATTTTGTGGAGAGTGGCAGAGCTCCATGAGTCGGAGGGATCTGGAGCCCCTCCCGGGACCTGTCGAGGGTGGGTAA